ACTACGTTGAAAACAAACTGAATAAATATACTTTTATAGCTTTTATTTAGTATCTGTATATAATTGAAGAAGAAATATGTGGTAGACACCATTAAAAATAATAACTGATGCCTAGTTGTTTTTGTCATGTGCAAGTGGATTTGAATAATTATTCATTCATTAAACAACATTTATTTCCGTAAATGTTAAACAATATTTATAGTAAATGATTATTATAACAAGAATATATATGTAAATAAATTAATAATACGAAAAACGATTAACTAGGATCTTTAATGGCAGATAAACATATCTTTTCACGTAGGATACTCACAGAAACAACATAATTTAAATAAAAACATTAAAAAGGCAAATTATACGCCATGCTTAAAATATTGGAACCACGCTTCAAAAAAATATTAATGCAAATGCAAGGTAAATATTAACAGACTTAGCGTGTCACTTGCTTTGCACTAAAATAACAATTGTTTGTATCCACCCTTTAGAATTTTGTGCACCACCCTTAAAATTTTGAGGACATTTTCTGAAATTTCACCATTCTTTAAAAATCCTGGTGAAAGGGTTGCCATGGGGAACATAAGACAATGAAGAAGGTGAAAACAGTTCCATAATAAAAAATACTGTTCCTAAAGGTAAAATTTGACAATGTTAATGAGAACCTCAGACGACAAAAGAATTCCCCTTAAAATATGTTTTAAATGTAGTAGTATCCGACGGCAAGCAATCAAGAAAAAACTAAACTGGAACAACTCTCTCGACACGAAATGTTTAGTGTATCATACAAACGTACGAAGTGACCACAAGCAATCAAGACAAGACTGGACAAGAACGACTCGCTCGACACGAAAATTTTACTTTATTGTTATTTACAAACATTCAAATACCTCTGACCGCAAGCAATCAAGGAAAGACTAGACAAGAACAAACCCGCGCGACACGAAAAGTTTAGTGTATTATACAAACGAGACCGCTACACAACGGCTTTCTTAGCTACGTTTTTTGACCGCTGATTGGTTAAAAAACGTATTTCATTTTTATTTTATCACTAAAAAACAGCTACTGTAAAATGTTTAGCCCATAAATATGATGTGTGTGAAGAAATCATTAAACAATATTTTAATTTGGACCTTCAAAAAGCAGTAAAAAGAAATTATTATGAAATTTTAGGGGGCTAAAGCCTGTTTAGCCCCCCCCCCTCTAAATCCGCCCCTGCAAACTATGAAAATACTTAAACACACCAAACAAAGACGAATTATTTTACTTGGTTCAAAATTATTTTTGCAATTTCAGTTATTATTATTATTATTATTATACGTAGTCTAACAAAAGCTCGCCCTTGACAAACAGCAGTAGCAAGGCAATAATAGTTAGAAAGGTGATAAAAGTTCCTTAATAAGTTGCTCTAAATGTGCCAATATTTAAAGTTTAGTGATTTTTTTTCTTATTTTGAGACTGTTGTACTGTATTTGTTGTGATAGAATAGGAAAAAGTAAGTGCCCCCTTAATAGGGGTTATTTAGCCTTTGGCACACTCAGAAGGTGTTCCCATCCATTTAATAGGGGTTGGCCGCAGTGTTTAAAGATAAATGGCCCCTCGTTTTACGGAAAAGTGTCCCCTTAATAAAAGTGTCCCCCTGGATAGGGGTGTCCCAGAGGAGGGGTTCTACTGTATAAAGGAGACGCTGCATGGGAATGTGGCGATATCAATCGAGAAGGTTTGGGCCTTCCTGAAAACACTTTGGGGCACAAGATCCTTAGAACCCCTGTCGAAGAAGCCATCATTTCATAATGACAGCACTAGACCCTGAGTATCCCCCAAGTTAATGATTGGATTCAAGGGTTTAGCAGCCAAAGCAGTCCGGCCCAGTAGTCGGGGTATAACCAATTGTTAAAAGAGGTTTTCCCTAACCATTATCCCCAAAAAGGATTACATATACTCTACATTAATGAAGGGCAAATCTGGGTGGAAACTAGCCCCAACTACAATAAAAGAGAGAAAAATAGAAGGGAGAAAGAGGGCAGCACATCGTACAACAACTCAGAGCCATAGATATATGGCTCTGCAACAACTATACTCCAAACCAAGCTAGTTTCCCGATTTAAATTCCATGACCGCCAGTGTAAATGTGTATATGTATAGACTATGGTCAATCATTTCTAAACAAAATCCTAAACATAACCACCCACACCCCCCTCCCCCTCTCAAGCTTGGTGCTTCGCATGTCGCATGGGCCCTACCCGAATTTTCAATTTTATAGCATGCATAAACAAGCATCAAAAGTCTATCATTTTACGAAGTCCTAAAGTCTTAATGTGCCTTGAAATGTAAATCCTCAAAAACAGAAAAAAAATGATCAATAAAAGCACTGTATTTTAAAATTGAATATTTTAAGAAATCGTGGTGTCAAAATGTAACAAATGTTTAAGATTGAAGTAAATCTAGGGAACCTTTGGTGCTGCACACAGCACTGTAGAGTACAACCATAGGCACAGACCACCCATATTTTTAAGAGAGTTCATTCCCCATTTTTTAACCAAAATGTCAAGAAGATGCCCAAAAATTGTTTTAGTGAACAGGAAAATTTACCCAGATTTTAAGGAAAGAGCACTGTACAGCCATAGTACAGTATATCTTTTAGGATGACACCAGCTGGTTTTCAGCATATTCGCCATGAATTTGACGTACATAAAGTAAACACACCAATGACAATGCTGTTAATGTTTATTTACTATGGTACGTCACAGAGATGAATTATATATCTATGGTTGCCAAATATCACCGTGTTTACTGCTGATTCTTCTTCTACATTCATTCCGATACTGTTGAGAAATCAAGTTGTCGATTTTGGTAAAATTTATATTTTCAAGGGTATGCTCATTATGTAAAAAAAAAAAAAAAACAACTTCCAAAACACAAATATATACCATTTAAGACAAACGCATATATGTATCAATGAATTACAAATTTACACATTCTTGCATCTCCAGTTAACAATTTGATATACTGTATGTTACTGAATTCAAGTTCCTCCCAATTGTTCAATACTCAAATGACATTCACTGTGAGTGTGACTAGACTTGAGGTACTCTTACTGGAAAAAGATTTCATATGAACCTATAAGTTTCAGGAAACAACAACTGGAGATCTCAAATGAGAATTGAAGGTAAACATCAAAAGAGATGACATTCAGGAACTTTTGGTCCAAGCTATACTTCTTCCTTATCCAACTAAACACTGGGTAGATGCTAAATAATGACTAATTATGTGACAGTCCTATGTAATCACATGGTCCAACCCCATCTTCAAAGGTAAGCATAATAAAAAATTGCCTGCCCCCCCCCCCCATAAATAAAACATAACATAAATGATCCAATAAGTGTCTCTCTTAAAATTTAAGAAGCCCCACTCTTGAATAAGCGACATAGCATTCATCATTCTATTTTACTTGAGAACATAACAACTGATTTCTCATGGATTAAATAATGTGGGGGCAGTTGGTGCAGTAGTTGTGCTCTTTGGTTTCTCAATGTTGGGATTCGAACCCTTGCTATGCATTTCGCTTTTTTTCTTGGATGTTTGTCTCTCTCCAACCTGGACTATAAATGGGCACCTGGTTGAAATACACTGGGGAAGCTAAAAGGAGGCATGAAAAGGAACTGGCCACCATACCACACAATGTCGAGGCTTAGTACGATGAGTTCCTGAGAGCTCACTCCCCTATGTTCATTAATGAATAATGGGACTACCTTTACCTTTTTAAAATTAATTCAAACGTTGCAACAAGTAGTCAAAAAGATGTACAGTATATGGCTACGTTTAGCACCACCACAATTTGCAATATATACTGCTCTTGAGTGTGCGGCATTAGAAGTGCCACACTACAGCTCATATTAAAACATTTATGGTTTGATAAAACAGTGTCAAAAGCAGAATATAGCATCGTCACAAACATGATAGTGTAAATTGTCAGAGTTCATTGAAGAAAGTTTATTACGAATTATCGTTTCTTTTTATACTTTTTTCTGCTCTTGTCTTGTCCAGAGTCTGTGGATCCACCATGCTTCTGTTGACGGGTTTTTAACTTTGGAATTGATTCACCAATATAATACATTATAGATTTTCCTGAAAGATAAAATTAAAAAAAAACACTATAACACAGTATATAACCAGTGGTAAATTGTGTGTAGTTAAAACAAAAATGGTAAAATAAATAGAAAGTTTACAGTACTCACTTGTGGCAAACTGTGGGAGCCTGGGTGTACCATCTTCATTACGCATCTGTATCCTTATACGACCTCTTGGCTCTCGGTTTTGTTCCCTATTGTACAATTTATTCTGAAAGACACATACAATTTTAATTAGGACGTATATTCTACATCAACACACTGCTTTCTGATTCTGTAAATAAAAATAAACAACTAAAAATAATCAAGTAGCACCTTATTGAATGACTTGGTAAGTCTATGATATACTGTATGCTAAATTAATTTCTCCATACAGTAAGGTGAATGATTAGCATAATAATAATAATAATAATAATAATAATAATCATAGTAATAAAAATAATAATAATACAGATTCAGAGTATAAATTGTTCCTTTTTCAAAAAATATAGGCCTATTCTGTCTTGATAAATGAAATCTTGATACATGTCCCAAGCGTACGCACTACAGAGATGGTTTTTACATGGTTTAATTTATAGTTGGGATGGTATAAAAAAACAAGTTTTTGATTGATCATCCTACCTCAACCCCTATCATCATGCCTGCAGCTAGGCACACATCTCTGATCTCATGGGTAGTTGGGTTATCAACACATTTGTCCTTGGCTATCTTCCTTCCCTGCACCGCCGTTTTCTTACTGTTAACATATGCAGGATATATACAAATCCATCTACAGTAGTCAGAAAAACAGAGACAAACATTACTTCAATACACAGATGGGCAAAGTGTGGTCCGGGAGCCGAATGTGGCCAGACGGTGAATTTGTTGCGGTCCACAAAAATAAATTAAAAGCCCTATTTGCTAGAAAATATCTTGTTTTTTTACACCCAACACACAAATCATCTGTAAAAGTAATATTAAAACTGTAAGTAAAACTTCCAAGTACCTACAGTAATACCGGTGCAAGATTACTGTATGTACTTTATCATGCCTCAGTGGTGCTTTTACAGTACTTACGACAGTTTAGTAGAACCGTTCTTAGTTACTAACTGCAGTGTTACTACCGTCTAATTAATAGTGTAGGCCTACTAATGCATGCTTTGCTAGGGATTTTGTTATTGAGTACCATACCAACCTTCTTTCTTACCATTATTTAATAGTCCTACATTATTTTTTTTAAAATACTAGCTAGGCCTCCAAGTAGTAAAGATTAGCATTCTAACTTAGTAATAGACTAAACCTTACTGTAGGCCACCTACTGAATTCATCACCGCATAAATAAGTACTGTAGGCCTAACTAACCTGAAAGACCGACATTACAACAAGCAATGCATAAAATCCTAGGCCTAGACAGGTATGTTAGAAATCGTGATGTCACACTTTGTTTATTTGGTCACTTGTTCAAATGGTGGGCTTGCACTGCTGGGTCAGGGTGTTGGGTTTTAAAAAAAATCTTTAAAAATGCATTTTTTTTATTGGATTTTGCTAATGTTATACATCAATAATATGCAGATTAAAGGTCAAACAAAGGTTACAAATTTGTTTTGTTTTCATCCATCTTATATTTACAGTGTCGTTGACATCTGAAATTTATACTTGATTAAAATCTACTTTTTTTTTAGCAGAAGGAAAGTTGCAATTTAATTATATTGATAGATAATTATGTGATTGTAACTTTGACCAAGTATGAAGAAATTTTATCGTAGGGAAAGTGGTTTTTTTAGGATGGAAAAACCGTTGTATATCTACTACCAAGATGCTGGTACTGGTAGTGGGGGTAGGCGTTGGGTGAAGGTGGTGGGGTATGGGTAGGTGGTGGGGAGAGAGAATGTATTTTGATTTGCATGTGGCAATTGTAAATAATGTAATGATGTACTAATAGTGTACTGTATCTTAAATACAGAAGGGCAAAGATCTTATAAATACAAGATAGAATTCTCCACGATTTACGCGTGCAAATTCTGTAATAATGCATGAAAAGCGGCCTCTTGCAAAATTGAAAACTTTTGAATTTTGACCGCTCTAACCATAGCGTACGACTTTACGTTTACGCGTAACAATTAGAAGCGTCCGATTTACAATGCGCCCTCTCTTTAGAACATAAGGAACAAATTAACATACTTGGTAACAAACTTATGGCGTAACTTTTCAAAATTTGTACAGTACATCTGCACCGGGGAGAGGAAGGGAGGGGATGTGTTGGGTGGTACACTATGGGAGTGGTTCTAGTACAGTAGTAGTTGTATACTGTAACTTATAAGCGCTAAAGCTACACAAAATCTGTGAAAAAAATAATAGGCCTAGGCTAGAGATAGAGATAAAGTTTTAATTTGTTATATAATTTTGGTTTTTGTTCCATAAATGTCAAAAGGTCACATTGTTTGCACATAAGGCCCAATAAAAAGAATTATTAGTTTATCACCCCCACGCACATGTCTTCTATGGTACTGTACTGGAAAACAAGGGTGATATTTGGCTTTAGCAAAATAAAAAATTTAAAAAAAAAGCCTCCCTCCCTCATCACTTTTCCTGGCCAGATAGGGTGATAAACTAATAATATTTTTTATAGGGCCTAATTCCTATATACCATATTTCCAGAAAAATAAAATATTTAAAAAAAATCATAGAAAATTAACTAGTAGCATGATTTCAACCAAATAAACATTGCTTTAATGTTTGAATCTTTGACATTTCATTTAAATCCATACAACATGGATTTTTCTTAACATACCTACAACCAGGCCTAAGTAAGGCTAAGCTAAGAATTCGATCCAACTCGGCCAGAAGTCAACTCGGCCAGAAGTCAACTCGGCCACAAGTCATTTACTGTACTGGTACTACAATTTGAAGGAGTAATTCATCAAGTATAAAATACTAATTCTTTAAGTATTACTATACTTATTGTTATTATTATTGCTGTTATTATTGTTGTCATTGTTGTTATTATTATTATTGTTTTTATTACCGTTAGTTTTAATATTAATTATTAGTCTTAGCATTAACATTATATATTGTTCAAATTTTTGCTGATATAATTATTATTACAGTACCATATAAATAATAAATAATTTTCGATTTATTATTATTATTCTTATTATTATTATTATTTATTAGTCTTAGTATTATTGTTTTAATAATAGTAATTTAAAAAGTTACTTTTATTGGTGTTTTAATGGTATTTCTCACATTATTATTATTATTAATATTATTATTGTTGTTGTCACCTTTATTATCGATATTATTACCCTATTATTACTAAGTAGGCCTAGTATTATAAATATCGTTATATACTGTGTACTTTATTTCAATCATATATCGAAGAAAAAGGATGCAAAAACTGAGATTTACATTAAATAACTTGTGGCCGAGTTGACTTGTGGCCGAGTTGACTTGTGGCCGAGTTGGCTGTAGCCGAACTTGTTGTGGCCGAGTTGATTTGTGGCCGAGTTGACTTGTGGCCGAGTTGACTTGTGGCCGAGTTAAATTGTGGCCGAGTTGACTTGTGGCCGAGTTGACTGTGGCCGAGTTGACTGTGGCCGAGTTGACTTGTGGCCGAGTTGACCTGCACCCGGCCTAAGCTAAGCTAGATTAGGCCTAGGCACGAACGAAGATGAAAAAGATCATAACATTTATAGGGCCTACTGTAGGGCCTAATTGGCATAATACAGATATGGCTCGAAATCTAGTAGTAGCATGGAGGTATCCTCCATGGTAGTAGTAGTAGGCCTAATACGAAAGGATTGCCAATCTATGTGGCGGCCAAAATGTCAATAGGCTAAACTTACAGTACCCCGGCCTCGGCCTAGTCTTGGTTAGATGGCCTAGCCTAGGCGAGGGTAAAAGAATATTCCACGGTTTACACAGAATATCTATACGATTACTAACCTCTCCCTTTGTGTATGATCCTTTGTTAAATGTGCCATACTTTCTTTTAACTAGTAGGTGGGTCTGAACAGCAGAAAAAACGAATGAAACATGTGCTACCCGACTGAAAAACCAAAGCTCTCTAGCCTACACAAGAACAGCTGTTGACAAATCGACGCCACGCGACGTATCGAAGTACGTGCGACAAAGTACGACTAATCCACAGCGCAGCAATCCTAAACGTTATACCGCCCGCTTTGGTTTATTCACGAATGGACGATACCATTATTATGACGTTTGGGTACCATCAGCCTCCTCCACTCTTCTTCTTTGCATTCATGAAGTCCATACTTCAAAGGGAGGCGTTTGTTTCCAATATTACCACCAGTGAAGTACAGAAAAATATTAATAACTATGTTGCTGAAAGTGTATTTAGAAGCAAAAGAGCGGAAGCATTTGCTTTGAAGTTCTAAAGTAAGTTTTTTTTCCTATTCATAATATTTTTATGGACCCTATTTTGTTTTTACATTATTTAGAAGTCTAGATGTAGGCCCTGGTTGGTGGTGAGGCTAACTGGGATGGAGGTGGTCCCAGAGTCCTGGTCTACCATCTAGGATGGATTTGCTACTAAAAGAAGTTTTCACACCTAGGTTCTCTCTTTGCCATGTTTACTACTTGTTTTTAGCTCTTGGCAAATCGTGTGAGATAGAGAAGACAAAACAAATTTTGTGTAGCAGAAAATGATGTACAGTATGCTGTGAAGTTTATTAGTATTTACCATGCACTTGTTAAAATAAAATGTTAAAAAGCCTAAAAAAAAAATAATGATTTACGGATGGTTTACTCCAAAATTTATTTTTTGTTATACAATACTATTATATACTTTGAAAGCTATAATGAATTGAATGCAATAATATTTGGATAGTGATAATTGCAACAAAAATAAGACCAAAACAAAAATTGTTTCCCAAGCACAGTGTTTTGTATTTAAATCAGGGTAGGATGGTCAGTAATAAAACAATATTATATGGCTAAGTCTAATTCTAATGTTCATTATGTTCACCTGTATTTCTTTGTATTGTTTGGGAAAGTGCTAAACCAAAGAGCTAAAATCCATAGTTAAAAGGCAACACTTTTTTTTTTATACCTGACTGCAAATATTGATGATTTCGAATAAAGATCCAATTTTATTTTTGGCCAATTAGCACACCCACCACCACAAAAAAGTGAAAATTCCAGAAAAATAAAGGTTTTTTAAAATTTTTATTATGCCCTTTGCTGCCTTGAAATCTCCAAAGATAAGATATGTATATTTCTTCCTAATTATATAAATTTGAAGCATTTAACCATCCTATTTTATACATTCACCAATAAAATTTTATTTTTATTTTCTTCTCCATCTGGATGTTTTTGGCAAAACTTTTTTCCATATAGGAAGACAAAATTTTATTTTTATTTTTATTCCGCCCATCTCCGATGATATTTAAAAAATAATTATATGAAACAAGGAATAAAAAAAGTCTCGCCTAATTATAAAACTAACATTAATTAAAGTTTAAAGTGGCTTTTTAAAACAATACATTATTTTTTAAATAAGTTCTTGATAATTAAAACAGAAATATTATTACCATTAGATTTTATTTTATTTTAGGTTGGTTGGGCCCGCTTAGATAAACAGTCTTGTGGGGGCTAAGAATAATATTTTCATTAATAGCACAAGTAATCAACAGGGTCTAAGAGATGGAATGACTAGTTATATTTTGTGTCAGTATCTAACTTTGAGAAGATTTATTGCTAGTAAAAAATGAGGAAGTACATTTTCCACCTTGTATCTCAATGCACTTTAGATCCAATGCTAATAACATATTATTGTTTTTATTTATTTTTTATTTTATTTGATTTATATAGCACACCCAGAAATATACATCTTATTTTTGGAGATTTCAAAGCAGTGGTGGGTGTAATAAAAATAAAGATAAAGTTTTATTTTTTTTTCAGAAATTTCCATTTTTTGTGGCTGCGAGTGCACTAATTGGCCAAAAATAAAATGTTATTTTTATTTGAAATCATCGTTATTGGCGGGTGGCGGGTTCGTTAACAAGGTATAAAAAATGTCTCGCCTAATCAGCATTACTCATTTCAGTTCAAATCATTCACCTCCTACCAGGTACCCTTATACTTCTGGGTGAGGAGGGCCAAATGCAGATAAATTGTAAGCAGTATGACAAGCATCGGTCTCAAACCCACGACCTTCTAATTGAAAGTCCAATGCCTTACAGTATATGCTGCACCACATCTATTGTTATTCTTTAATTCAAAATATAAACCAAGTTGTACCATGCATCTGAAGGATTTTATTTTTAATTATGCTAATGCCAGTCGATTATACTGCAATGGAGTACTGTAACGTAATATGTTGTTACCACAAACCATACACCGAAATCCTATTTTTAAAAAAATTACTTAATTTACAAATGTTCTATGAATTTTGTAAATTGGAATATAAATCCCAAGAGACAAGGAGTTATCTTCAATTCAGTCCTACCTGTACCATCTGTGGGATTTTATTTTTATCATTTATGCAAATTCAATTGATTATTATACTGGCATTGAACAGTGGGAGCTGTTACCACAAAGCATACAGCAATCCTATTTATAAGAATTTACTTAATTTACATATTTGTTATGAATTCTATATCTTGGGAATTAAATCCCAAGAGTCAAGAAAAGTGTTTACCGTAATTAACGATACGTCCCAAGCGTGTTCACTTTTGTATCTAGTTTGTCTTGATAATGATTGCATTGGCTTTTTTTTACATTCTAGGAGAGATATGATTGATGATGTGTCTACCCATTAGCTTCCACTAGGCCTACTTTTACATAACCTGACATCAATCTGACTTTTTTTTTATTATTATTTTTTATATCGCATTATGATTCATTGTAAAAAAGAGATATTTCTTATGCAAAAGGTTGGTTTTCTTTGCATAAAATTACCAAGTTTTTCACAGAATTTTGTAATTATTATTTTTATAATAATAAAATTAATTATATTGATAATGATGATGATAATACTGTATAATAATGAAGTGGTTAATTATTCTTAAACAGCATCATCGTCATCATAACATCAGTGTCATCATACGTATCATCATCATAATCAATTATCATATTTACGCCTTGACATTGTATTGCTCATCATTTATTTTCAGTTGATGATATGTTTTATATTTTATAATTGTAATTTTTATGAATCTATATTTGCTTAGTTTTATATGGGACTTCTCCTTGAGGGAATGCTCCTCTGTTATAGAAGGGGTGAATTAATATAAATTTTTCTAAATATATAAATCAATTGAATTTTCATTATAATTCATGTTTTTGCTTCCTTTGTATATATTGTACTTCTTGTCAGGGAATTGTTTTTATCATGAATGTCTTAACATTGTACTGTTAATTGATATTTTATTATGGTATCTAGTGATTTTATATTGTATTTATTGGTATCCATGTTGATAGGTGAAATGAAATAAAAACAAATAAATAGTTATCATCATAATCATGGTTATTATTATCCAACATCTGAACAGAGTGTATACATTATGAACTGTGTTTTGTCTTTAAAGTTTACAACATTAAGGGCCATTCAGAAGATAAAGATGGAGAGACAAAAGATGAATTCAGAAGCACCAGCCACAAGACCAAAAACCAAAGGATTCTATCTCCCGCTAAAACCAAATGATGACACCGAAAATATTGATAGTGATGATAATGAGACAATTCTCGATACAAATGATAACTTTTCAATCAATTATAAAGACAATGGTTCCGCGTTAAAAAATGATTTCAAAGAAATCAACATTATGACAAATCCCGCAGCTTCAGAATCTGAAATGCAAACTGAAACGAAGACTTTTGATTCGCAGGTGCACTTGCACATGGATTCAGATTACGATGAAGAAGAGGACGAGTGTGCGATAGGGCCAAACCGCGGCCCACATATCATTATCTTTTCACTGATGTGTTGCCCGGCCATTCTAGTTATATCTGTCATTGTTACTGGCTACGTTGGCTTGTTATCGTTTCTCAACATTCTATGTTACTATTTTGAAGAGCGGACATTGCTCTATCGCGTTTGTGTCTGTCCAGTTATTCTGATTGTCTTTCCTCCGTTGGTTGCTGTCTTTACACTGATAGTGTCCGTTTTTTCGGCATTGGAGCAAGTTTCCTGGTTCTATGACTCGTGGTGGGAGTCTGTGTCGAACCTTGAAAAGGGATTTTATGCGTGGTTGTGCAGACAGCTTGGTTTGCAGAACTGCTGTCCTTATGAAAGCATTAAGATATCAGAAGATGATTATGAGTCAGTATCTCAAGATCTTGATCCCATTTCTGTTGGCTCTACAGATGTATGAACATTTTAGCTGTTGCTATGTATCATGAACATACACTGCAGTTCTTGGTATATAAAATACTTGCATAGAGAACATTGTTTACAGTATTTAAAGCTGTTTTCATACAGGAGTAACTGGATTTTTATGGATGGTTCAATCAATATACTCTCAATAGTCTTCAATGTTTGTGGTAATATATGAGGCCATCTAAGAGTAGCACTGGTTTCAATAAATGTATTTCTAGTGCTTTAAATCAACTTTAGCTCAAAGGTGGTTTTGGAATATGATTTGAAATATAGGTTTTAAATAAATTTATGGTCATGTAGATAATATAAAGATTATGAAATAAAATATATTAATTTATATAGATATAATGTACAGTACATATATATTCAACCAATCTGAATAAATTAATGAAAATAATTATTTAATTGTAAAGTGATTATAATTATAGAGGCTCTACTATATTTAATATCAGGCAAGACTTTTTATACCTTGTTTAACAAAACCGCTGCCCGTTAATAATGATGATTTTAAATAGAAATAAAATTTAATTTTTGGCCAATTAGCGCACCTGCTGAGAAAATAGAAATTTCAGAAAAACATATAAGTTTTTTAAAATGTTTATTACACCCACCGCTGCCTTGAAATATCCAAAAATAAGATATGTATTTCCTTCTAATTATGTAAATTTAAAGCATTTAACCATCCCATTACATTCACCAATAAAATTTTATTTTTATTTTCTCCTCAGTGTGGATGTTTTTGGCAAAACTATTTCCTTAAAAAGAAAATAAATTTTTCAACAAATTATATTCAACAAATCTGTATAAAATAAGAAAATCTACTGTTTAAAAATGATATAAGATTGGGAAGTTATTTTTGGGCTTTAAAACTACTTTAATTTAAAGTTGATTTTGAAACATGATTTGAAAATAGGTTTAAATAAATATAAGATCATAGATAATATAAGATTATGAAATTTAGTATATACATATTCAACTAATCTGAATAAATTAATGTTAAAAAATAAATATTTTAATGTACAGAGATTAAAGAACATCTATTTAATACCATTTATTATAGAGTATTACAGTGTTACGTCACGGTACCACATGATACTACTCCGTTGCTATTGGCGACACAAAATGCCTTTAACTGGACGCCATTTTCTCCACTTACAAACCATTGATCCGAATTTCCAACTTAATTATTATGATGTTGTATCTTAGTATTTCTTCATAAAATTTAATTGATGATTAAATGTGTGTTCGATAACTAATATAATTCTGGTTTCTGGTTTCTGGTTTATTCACATCGAAACATATTTCGTGGCAACACAAAGGCTGAATTGAGAAATATTAACAAAATTCGACATAAAAAACAATTATAAACAATTAAAACGATTGCACTCAACAACAAATGAAAATATTTAAAAAACAAATTGGCTAAATTTGATTTACATATCTAAAATATTCGAACGCATAACATCTAAAACAGGTTAACAACATCAATAAAAAGTAATAAGGCCTAAATTTGATATTACACTAGAATTAATTAAAATTTTATTTACAATTATTTAAATCAGATAATCAACAACATCCCAATGAAAATTAATAAGGCACTAAATTTGATATTACACTGGAATTAACATTGTATTTACAATTATTTAAATTAGATAATACACTAAAATTAATTAAAATTTTATTTACAATTATTTAAATCAGATAACAATCACTTAAAACAAACAAGCACCAATACATTCATTTCAATCGTAACAAAGCACATTAATGTGAGCTTTTGTGTTTTTAGTACATTTTGATGGTAAATTATTAGGTTTTAAATGCTGATTCCAGAAAGACTATTCTAAACCATTAAGATTATGAAGCCATTCAGGCGTAATGAACGGTAACCAACGTCTGTTTGACAACAAAGGGCGCCACCTGGTGTTGTGACAACCCAACTGTTGTACACTATGGTGTAATAAAATTCATTTAAGTACAGTATGGAGAATAATATAATTTAATATTTTGAGAAATTACTTGTCAATCTTGTCATAACCATTGGTGCTCTTCCAAAAGGCAGATATTCTGTACAAATATTCTCCATATCCTTATCCATTATTGTATAGACCAAGTTTGACAAATGTGTAATCAAAATTTCCGATAACCTGGCAACTACCACTGGGGACTTTTAGAGGCCTAGCATTTCGTGGTACGTAGTTAACATCATGGATTAAACCAACGACAAAACTAAATTACTAATGAACACAAACATTTTAAAACAGAAAAAACATGAAATGTTTTAAAAACAAGTCTAAGTCTTAAAAAGCTATTTCAATGTTTACATACAGTAATTTTAGTGAGTAATAGCAAGATCGTGTCTGTTCTCTACTGCTGCTGTGGCAGGGTCTAGCGGCGCTGTCCGCTGCGCTGTGCTCTATTGAAACTAGCTAGCTGCTCAAGCTACAGTAGGCCGCTGGAAGTCCCCAGTGAGTTACGAGACATATTGGCAGCGCTGCTTCAAAATAAGCCCAATAAAATGGTCTATAATAGTCAGAACCAGCCTAGGCTGGGGGAAAGAAGAAAATTCCATTAAAATTTAAGTTTGAGAGTGCCATTTCTGACCTTAGTGCCATTAGACGTAAAATATTTGTACCTCAGCAGTAACCATGGTTGGGATGAGGTCATTTGAACTGGTCCTTTGTAAAATTCCCTCATCAGGCCCCTATGATTTTTTAGTTCTGGATTCGCCATTGATAGTTGTTGGTCCTGTTTCTGTGAACATTTCTCCTGGTTTTCAAACACTGTTTTGTACAATAGCTTAATAAAAAAAACATGTCCGGAACAGAAAATCCAATCGTATAAAAAAAAATATGTCCTTAAGAAATACAATCCTATAACAGATATAATATATGGCCTCATAAAACTAAAGATATCATCTGAATCTTGAATTTATATCCCAATGGAGGAATGATATAATATAGTGTAATATAATATTTTATTCAAAATATTGTTTGTCATCTTTAAAAGCCATGCATAATGTAGATGTCATTCTTTTGTCCGTCAGGCAGTACAACTAATATTTGATGAGACTTCTGTCTGATACTTTAGTGTGTGCATTACAACAGAATGCCTTGTTTAAAGTAGAAACAGTGCTGTATTCCCTCAGAGAAGTCATATTTTATGAATATAATCACCTCTGGATGCCTGGAAATTGGTACTCCATTAGACTGTAAAAGTACTTTTACAATGCTTGTATAATAATGATAACTCCCAGGTCAGTGATTTTCAAGCTGGGTCCATATCTATATTGTAAGTAACTCAAAATGTTGTAGGTGCCTTGTTTTTGGAAATGTTGTTGGTTTGAGAGTTGACATCCTCCCATCAGCAAATTTTGAGGATAACTGTATGGCACCCCTAGATAAAGTTTATGAGTTTCTATTGTACGTACACAAAATAGAAGTAAAAATTATTCCCTTATGTGGGATATATTCTTTACTCTATAAATTGTGAGTTTTTTATGTTTATTTTTGTTAAATGAAATTACATTATTTAAATGAAAATTAAAAAATAATGGAGAACACCCTTGTGGAGGGGGGTGGGGGCAGGGCACCTGTCAGGGAGAGCTCCCGCCCCCCCTGGAAGAAAAGAATTATATGTATTTTCTACATATTAGTAGACTCTAAAATCGATTAAATAAGCCTTTGAAACCCCTAAATCGTCAAAATTTTTGGGGGTTTCGCCCCTGGACGACTTTCGAAACCTTTTAACTGAAGCTTGACCACGCCCACTTTGCTTTCGTCGGGGAAATCTGACCCCTTGTCGGGGGAATAGTCGGGCAAATCCTGGCGCCACCCCTGTTTCTTGTGTTTTATAATTGGAATTCATAAAATACATTGTTAACATTCCGTTAACTAAAACCAGTTAGGTGTGGTTCAGTAAAGTTTTTACATGAGCAAATTTTATTATGGTTTTGGCCCATACCTCTGCATACATTTGTTTTGTAAAAGTTTGTAAGGCTATTTTTCGCTAGATTCTTCTCATGTTCTTTTTATTCGATCCTATCATGATGTTATCAATTAATTATTGTACCTGCTGAAGTATTATTGAAGAGAATGATGATAGTGACCTATAATGCTGTCCCAGTTTTTACTATAAAATTGGATTTTTGTGTTTATTCAATTCAGTTCAATATTATTACAATCAGTTAATTTAAATAAAGGTTTTATTCCAAGGGATAAAATTTACTTCTCATCTCAGCAAATTATATAGTTGTTTTGATTGATTAAGAGAAATATCTATTTTCTGTAAAAATATTCTGGCCTTTGCGGCTTGAAGAGCATTGGCTTATCTAGTGGGATTCTCACATTCCTCCAAAAATTACTCGCCCCCCCCCCCCCCCCCCCCCCCCGCCAAGTCACCTCTCCAAAAATCACTTGCAAGTAGTTAAAAATCACCTAAAATCACCTTATTTAGCAAGTCAGCTTCACTCAAATAATCATCGAGCCCCCTCCACTTCACATTTGCGCTCCCCCCCAGCACCCCCATTTCAAGACTTCTAGATATGCCACTGATGAAGAGCTATGAACCAACACGGTTAAGACGGATTGGACTTTGGTGGGATACAGACCGAGTTATAGACCCACTGGCATATCTATGGGGCGCCCCTCCAGAAAATACTCGGCCTCCCCTTCAGACGCCCCACTCCCATTGAAAAGTTCAATACAAAAAACTCACACTCATGTAGTTAAAATCACTTTAAATCACCTTTTTTTTTAGAGTTAGCACCTGCTCACCTAGTCTCATCGAGCTTTCCCACTTCACCTTCTCTCCCCATCAGCCCCTCCCCCCACCATTTCACGATTCATAGATATGACACTGTATTGACCGTTGGACCTATGTGCACATGTGCAGAGAGAATAACTCAGTACGCAATTTGGAAATAGATGGGGATTGTTGGACAAACCATGATAGGTGCAGTACTGTGGCTTTGCAGGTCCCTGGGACCTAATCTAAGTTTCCATTTTGAGTTTTAATTATAGTCCTATATACATTTTATTTCAAAATGCTATGTATACATTTATGTTTACATTTATATTTTATTTAAAAATGTTGTATCTTAAATATGTTCTTTAAAACGATTGCTTATCCAAATTCCAAAACGATGTGTACAATAATAGTCTTAAAATGGATTGCAATTTACATGATGCTCTCTACATTAACAATTTAAAAGAAGATTACCAGCATAGACACTATAGATCTACAGTTTTATGTTTACTTGAAACATGACATTGCCTGTACAGTACTGTAAAGCACTTTATCTTCAAATAAATTTAATTTCAATTCACGTTTTTAGTTTATTTGCAGTGTATGTTTCTATGATCATTACGCATTTTGTTACGCATTATTCACTAATTTGTAACATGTAAAGAATCATAAAATGACAATAAAGTATGTCTTGTAACTTGGAATGCTTTTAATGAAGAATGTTCGAAGTGACAATTATAGCACTGATATTAGTGCACATTGTGCCTAAGTAAAAAAAAAAACATTGGTATTCCCAGAGGCATCAAGATAGAAAGAGAAATCCTATGCCAT